CGGGCGGCCGCGGGCGGCACTGCGCCAGAGGTCTTGCGGGAGAGGAAGGAGCGGTGGGACCCACAGATAGCGGGTTTGGGGGCCGTCCGAAAGTGCTTTCTGCCCTCCCCAGCGCTTTCATTATCCTTGCACAACCTAAGAAGCGGATCTACGCGGCAGACAGCATCATTGTCATACTTCGTATCTGTCCTTCGTCACCTGCCTTTTGAGATTGTGCACTCCACCCCGGCCAGCCCAGGCCCAAATGAAGGAGAGAAAACTGACGCTGGCAATGAGCTAAGCCTGGCTCAGTGCTTGAGGCCTTTGTGAGTCTGCGCAGGGATGCGCGGGCACACACACGTGGAACCGGCGTGTTGCACAGCAAGACGTGTGTGCAGCATCTGCTAGTGTGTTCCACCGGTCCTGCCGAGCTCCTCTGCCCCAGGCCCCGCGCCCCTCGGCTCGTGTCTCACTCAGTCCTGTGGCATCGCCCAGGCTCCCATCGTCCTCTCCTACCCAAATTCTGTTCACCCCACCAGACCCAGCTCAGGTTCTTCCCTCCACGGCATCCTTGGACCTCTTTTGAGGGTCTCGGTCCTTTCTGTCCACACCCTCTTTGGCTACCACACTGGCCTGAGGCTCCGACCAACCGGTTCTTCTCTGGGCTCTTTTGTCCTCTCAAGCTTTGGCCGACCACAGGCTCCTCCCTCCATGGTTTTGAGGCCCTACTGTAAGCCAGGCATGGAGAGGCTGTTACTACCCTCTTAGCTGAGAGACTAAACCATTAAGAGCATATAGGACTCCCTGGTGGAGTTGAGGAGGTAGCCATTGTGGAGACCAGGGTCACAGGAGAGGGAGGGCACCCCTGCTCCCCAGCCCTGATTTGCTGGCCCCTCGTGGATGTGGAGCTCTTTGGTGACCCAAGGCTGAGGACAGACAGAATCCAGCAGTGTCAGGAATCAGGCTGTGTGACAGGTGGGAGCCAAGAATTGTGGATGTCCTGTGGGTGACCTGATCTATGTAACAAGCTCTCCCTGCCCTGGCTCTGGGGGAGGAAAGGCCACAGCAGAGGAAGAGGGTGGGACATCATGTTATTACTCGGTGACCTTGCACAGCCCCCCTTCCCCCAAACAGGAGAGAACACTGGGACAGGGGCTGCAGGGTGGCCAAAACATAATCCAGGTGCTAGAGCACGATTCCGGCCCTGTGACCCTGCCTGGGTAACCCCAGCACCCTTCCTGGTGGCAGAGTATGTGTCCTCTTCCACCCAGGGAAGCCAACTGAGCTCAGGGCACTGTGTCCTCTTTCCATCCTTTGGCAGAGGTGCAGGGCGGTTGCTCCAGGGTGAGATCTGGGAGCACCTTCCCGTTCTTCTTCTAACCCAGCCCTGAGTCTCCTGGTAGGGTTGCATCAGGTCAGACAAGTATTGTGTGCATTGTGCAAGGTGTGGGCTGGTTCTGTAGCCTCAAGCCCTCTTTCCCCAAAGCCTGGGGCAAGGCAGGACACTCTTCAGAGAGGGCCTTCATACCTGACCTCCTCCTCACCCAGAAGCCAGAGTGAGGCAGACCACACGTAGGCCTGGTCTCCGATCAGGAGCCTACATGATGGTCAGACTGGCTTTCCTGGGAGCTGGGAGGTGGCTGTGGGATGGTGGGAAATGTCAGTGCCTCTACCAGCCTGCGGGTGGCACTCTTGGGCTCTTGCTGGGGCCCAGGGGTCTCAGGCTGGGACCCCCACCAGTGTGGTCATGCCCGCAGCTGCATTATCATTGTGAAGGAAAAGCAGGGCTAAAGCCATAGATTGGGGTGGCTTCTGGTGTTCATCCCATATGTGTTTTAATCACCAGCCTTCTGGCTGACAACGATCACAAGCTTGAATCTATCCTCAGCAGTGCCATGATTGATTAGTGATGTCTTCCCCAGGCATAGACACAGCAGTGGTAGTGTGAGTGCCATCTTGGACCTAAGCCATTACCAGCCTGTGACTCCCTCCCTCACCATCTTGGTCTACCTCAGTCCCTCTAACACCTGACCAAGGCACCTGACCTTGCCATTCTCCTCAGGCCACCACCCACGTGTATGTGACCATTGTGGATGAGAACGACAATGCCCCCGTGTTCCAGCAGCCTCACTACGAGGTGTCACTGGATGAGGGCCCAAATACAATCAACACCAGCCTCATCACCGTCCAGGCGCTGGACCCAGACGAGGGGCCCAACGGCACAGTTGTCTACACCATCATCGCAGGCAATATCATCAACACTTTCCGGATTGGCAGGCGCACAGTGAGCAGCTGACAGTGGGGTGCTGGAGGAGGGCGAGTCTTCCCCGGGGTCAAGGGTTGGGGACTTAGGATGGGGTCTGGGACATCGGAGTCACCAGGTGGGAGGTTGGAGAGAGTGGGTGGGTGGGCACCAGGTCCTGTGTGCCAGGGCGTCCAGGCCTCTGCCTCCTGGGTCTGTCAGAGGGCACCCTGGACCCACCGCTCCACCCCATCCCCTCTGTGTCCCCCAGGGTGTCATCAGTGCCACCAAGGAGCTGGACTTTGAGATCAGCCATGGCCGCTACACCCTGATGGTCACCGCCATGGACCAGTGCCCCATCGTGTCCCACCGCCTCACCTCGACCACCACGGTGGGTGGGTGGGGCACAGCTCCAGGGTGCAGGGCAGAGGGACGGAACCCAGAAGCCCCAGTGGGGGCAGGAGTGAGGGAAAGCAGATTCAGGGGGAAATGCCCCCATCCGGGAAGTCTCTGCTCGGCCCAGCAGCTCATCCAAACTTGCCGTGTGACTTGGAAGAGATCACTGAACCTCTCTGTGTAGCTAAATCTAATCAGACCAAAGAAAATACCTGCCTGCCTTCCTTTCATGGGAAAAGCATGAACTCTGATCAAATGAACAGGAGTTCGAATCCCTACCCTTTCACTTCCCAGATTTGTGAACCTGGCTAAATCATATAACCTCTCTAAGCTTCAATTTCTTCAACTGTGAAAGAGGGTTCCCCAGCCGGGCATTTAGCTCAGCATTTCCACCAAACCTGAGTTCGATCCCTGGTACCCCCCCAAAAAAATATATTATCAGGGTGCAGAAAGAGCCAGTAAGACCACATAAAATGACCTCAGTACAACAAAAAATAGAAGCTCATTTCATTATTAAAACTATCATGTCTATTAAAAGACCTTGACAGCCCAGTGTGGTGGTGCTGGGATCTGTAATCCCAGAACTTGGGAGGCTGAGGCAGAAGGATCACCACAAATTTGAAGCCAGCCTGGGCTACATAGCGAGACCCTCTCTCAAAAAAAAAAAAAAAAAAAAAACC